GTGCAGTGCCCGGCGGTGGCGGCCCTGGCCATTGAAAAGGCCAGGCGCATAAGGGTGGGGTGGTCCCTCGCCCAGGTTAGTGGTGGTGGTGATTCAGCCGCTGCAGTGCTTCCGCTGCCTTGCAGTAGGGCATGTACGGCAGCGGTGCACTGTGACGATTGACCGGAGCGGGGACTGCTACTGGTGTGGGAGCTCCACCCAGAGGGCCGCCGAATGCCGGGAGGCCCCGCACTGCGCGGTGTGCGCCGAGTTGGGCCGGTCTGCGGGACATAAGGCGGGGAGTATGGCGTGATGATTTCCGGGTCACGGAGTCTGACGTGTCCCGAGATATCAGGGGGCTGAGGGCTAGGGGCAAAAAAGCTCCGGGCCCGGATGGAGTACCCGGTAGACTGCTAGCTTTAGCCTTGGGAGTCTTCCGCCCGGCGTACAGGAGCGGTTTGGACGCTAACCTGAGCCGGGGAACCTTCCCCACAGTGTCGAAAAAGACGTGCCTGGTTCTTCTCTAGAAAGGTGGAAAACCCGCGGAGTCTCCCTCTACGTACCGGCCGGTGTGTCTTCTCGACGAGGCGGGCAAGCTGTTAGAAAGAATCATAGCTGTCCGCCTCCTCGAGCACCTGTCGCGCGGTGGTCCCGACCTCAGCGACAGCCAGTATGGTTTCCGGAGGGGGCGCTCGACGATTGACGCGTTAGAGCCTCTTCGCCTCCTGCGGGATGAGGCTGTCGCTCGGGGCAGGGTGTTGATCGCTGTTGCATTGGATATCCAATGCTTTCAACGCCCTGCCCTAGAAGGAGATAGTAGGGGCGATGGAATATTTCCAGGTGCCCCTCAATCTCCGGGAGGTAGTTCAGGACTATCTCCGCGGCAGGGAGGTGGTATTTACCGGCCGGTGCCAGGTTGTGCACACGAAGGAGACGCACCGCGGGGTTCCTCAGGGGTCGGTCCTCGGACCGCTTCTGTGGAACCTTGCTTTCGACGCGGAATCCGCATAGCAGATTACACCCTGATTTATGCAGAGGGGAAGGACTAAAGTGGAACCAGGCATGCTGCTGACTCCGCCCTAGACTGTGTCGTCGGGAGAATCCAGAGGATGGGACTGACCGTGGCCGCCGCAAAGACCAAGGCAATCTGGCTGTACGGATTGTCTCGGGCGCGGCGGCCGCCTTTAGGTCGGGATCTCCGGATTCGCGTCGAGGATACCTCCGTCGACATCAGACCCGCCATGAAATACCTGGGTCTGGTCGTTGACGGCCGCTGGCGCTTCAAGGAGCACTTTGACCTCCTGGCCCCTCGAATGGAGAAGGCGCCCGCCGCTTCAGCGCGGCTGCTGCCCAATATCGGGGGGCTGGAGTTGCAGATCCGTCACTTGTACGCGGAGGTGGTGCGGTCGATGGCCCTATATGGGGCCCCTGTGTGGCACCGCTCGCTCGAGGCCAGCAAGCGCAGCCGCGCTCTTTTTGAAAGAGTGCGGCGACGGCTGGCCTTACGGGTCATACGGGGACCCCGCACCATTTCTGCTGAAGCGACGGGCCTCCTGGCCGTGATTCCGAATTTCCATCTGGCGGCGGCGGAGTGCGCGACGATGTACGGGATCGCCCGAACCGCTCGCCGCCGGTGGGAGTCGCGACCATAGAGGTAGAGGAGGTCGATGTGCAGAAGCGCCAGACCCGGAGGGACACGTTGGCCCGGTGGAAGCATGAGCTTGCTTCATCGGGCCATCCTGCCCATATTTGAAACATTTCGAATGGATGCGGGGAAGGTTGACCTTCCGCCTCATGCAGGTGCTGTCCGGGCATGGATGCTTGGAGAGTACCTGCACCAGATGAGGCGGGAGCCGACAGCGGAGTGTCACCACTGCGGTGAGGAGGTGGACACGGCGTGGCATACACTCGAGGAGTGTCCGGCATGGGCCGCGCCGCGCCGTGCCCTAAGAGCCGCAGGGGGTGGGTGGGACCTCTCGCTCGCGGCCATGGTCGACCACATGGTCTCGAGCGAGAGGTTGTAGAAGGTGGCGGCCGCCTTTTGCGAGGAAGTTATGTCGCAAAAGGAGGCCGCCGAGCGAGCCCGGGAGAGAGACCCGGGCTCGACAAGAAAGGTGTGGGCGCGACGTCCCTCGCGCCACTGCACGCCTCTGCGTGGTGGTAAGAATGCAGGGGGGCCGCGAGGGGCGCCCCCGCGACGACATGTGCCTCGCACGGAGGCGGCGAATGTGGGGGGGGGGGCGGGACGTTACCCTGGCTCCCGGAGGGGATACAATTCCCCTCGGGACGGGCCGAGCATGTGGACTACTGGATCTTGTAGGGGCATGGGTGGTGGGGTGGGGAGGGTTGGGGTGTGCCGGATCACGCCTCTGACGACCCTCCCTTACCGGTGTCGGCGTCTTCTTGTCCTGGCGTTCAGGGAGCTCATAGTTCCCTGAACCAGTACGGACATGAAGACGCCGGGGGCTGTGGGTGGAACGAGCGGGAGCTCGGGAAGCCCATTCCGACGGCCCCAGGGATGTGGACACCGGGTTGGTCCCTCCGCCCGGGGTCTTATAGAGTAGGTAGTAGGGGAGGCTTGTACCCTCCCTCTGAGATTCATGTAAGCTGGGAAATGTCCTGCTGAATATTCGCGTGTTCCAGGCACTTCCCATGTAGCTCAGGCGGGTGTGGGGTTTTAGTGGGTAGCCATCGCGGACGGGCGCGTCCCCCGGGAAACCGAGGTATGCGTAATGCATTTCTCCACAGTAAGAAAAAAAAAAAAGAAAAAAGGATGGCGCAGGATCTGCTCGCCGTGACGGCGGAACGTCTTAAGGCGGACGTCGTCATGGTGGCAGAACCGTACGATATCCGCCCGGACTGGACAGCGGACCTGACCAAAAAGGCCGCTGTCTGGATTACCGGCTTCGGCGGTCTGAGGGGGGTTATGACAGAGGAGGGGGCTGGCGACGGGTATGCCCTGGCCACGGCTGGGGCCACCCTGTTCGCCAGCTGTTACTATACCCCTCAGCTCGACCGAGAGGGGCTGGATGCCAAGCTGGAGATGTTAGAGGCCGCCGTTATAGAAGGACACCGGCGCCGGGTTGTTGCGGGGGACTTTAACGCGAAGTCCCCCGCATGAGGATCCCGGAGGCTCGACCCGAAGGGCGCGGCCCTGTCCGAGTCCTTCAAGAGGATGAGGCTCACCCCATTGGATAGCGTGAGGCCGTTCCCTTTCAAAAGGAACGGCCGCACGTCCAAAATTGACGTGCTGGCGTGCGACGCCGGTACTCTGAGGGAGCTGGCTTCCAGCGCAATCCTGAAGGAGTACTCGGCGTCGGACTACTGGTACTTGTGGCACGTGTTCGGGCAGACCGAGAACGACCGGCTGCCCGAGCGGCGGTTTGCCAGGGGCTGGAAAATCGAGACCCTCGATCCGGAAAGGCTTACTGCGTCTGTTGGACGTAGTGTCACTGGACTGGATCTGGGGGTCCCTCTGCAGCCTGAGCAAATAGAGGGCGTCCTGGATGCTATCGCGTGTGCAGATAGCATCAGATCCAGGATGCCCCCGCCTGTTAGATGCACGGCCAAGTACTGGTGGTCCCCTGACATCGCCACAGCGTGACCGGGGTCCCCGAACTATTGGAGAAGTATAGGGAGGCCCGGCGTCGGTTGAAGATATTAATCATTCGGGGCAAGGAGAGAGTCTGGAGGCAGCTGTGCGGCATGGTGGAAAGGGATATGTGGGGCAGACCTTACCGGGTGGTCATGAATATGGTCGCCCGGAAGGTCCCACCCCCCTGATGCCTACGCGCAGCTAGATGGCATTCTGGTCGGGCTCTTTCCGGCCACGGCGGACGCGGAGGTGGTGCCTCAAGAAAGATATCAGTTTTGGAGGGATCTGGGCGGATTCGTCCGTCGGCCGAACCCCCCGATCTCCGTGGAGGAGCTCCAAGGGGCTCTGCGGGCCACACACCTGGGCAAAGCACCCGGGTTGGATGGGGTCCCGGGCAGAGTCATCGCCGAGGTGGCCAGGTGGAACGAGGGGTTGCTGAGGGCTACCCTGGTCAGTTGCCTAAAGCACTCCTACGTTCCACAGAGATGGAGGGAGCAGAGGTTGGTCCTCATAAAGGAGGAGGGGAAGGATCCTGCTTCTCCTTCGGCGTATCGCCCATTGTGCATGCTGGGGCACCTTGCGAAGGTATAGGAGAACGTGGTTAAACGCAGACTGGAGGAGACGATCGTCCCGCACGGGCTGTCGCAACATCAGTACGGTTTTCGTGCGGACCGAAACTAAGCAGCACCGACGATACTGCGTGTTCGTCGCCTTGGTCGTTAAGAACGCGTTTAACTCACTCCCGTGGGGGTTGCTCATGAATATGGATATGCGACAGGGGCATCCCCCGATACCTTCGCGTGGTGGTGGCGTCGTATCTGTCCGGCAGGTACATTCGGTACAATACTGCCGAGGGTGAGGGACGCCGGAGAGTATACTGCGACGGCCCGCAGGGGTCGGTGCTCGGCCCGCTGTTATGGAATATTTTCTATGACGGCGTGCTGAATCTCCGCCTTCCCAGGGGGTGCTCGACCATTGGGTATGCGGATGACGTCCTCATTGTGGTCACCGCACTGGACCGCGAGACACTGGATCGGAGTATCCAGCGTTCTATGCGGCAGGTCGGTGACTGGATGGCGTCGTCCGGGCTGGAGATCGGCCTCGAGAAGACAGTCGTCTTCTTGGCAAATCGAAAATGGTTGGGTCCCCGCTTCTGGTTCCGGTTGGTAGGCAGATGGTCCCTCCATCTGAGAGTGTGAAATATCTGGGGGTGACCTTCGATCGGTCACAGAACTTCAAAGTTCATATCGAGAAGGTCACCTCCAAGGCCACCCGGGTGATGTATGCGCTGGCTCGGCTCATGCCTAACATAGGCGGACCGGGGCAACGGGCCAGCGCATTGTATTACCAGGTTGTGGAGTCGGTGCTGCTCTACGCCGCCCCCATTTGGGGAGGGGCTATGTGTGTGGCAGCGCGACGCCAGAAAATGGTCTCTGCCCAGAGAGCGGGCCTCATCAAGGTGTGTAAGGCATACCGGAGCGTCCCCAATGATGCGCTCCCGGTTATAGCGGGTATATGCCCCATCATCCTCAAGATAGAGGAGAGGGTGCTCATCTTTCTACACCTCGAGGAGCATGCGGCCGATCCGCGGACCCGATCCGAGGCGGACATTCCGGCTGCCATTGAGCACGTCAGGAATGATGTGCTCGATAAATGGCAGGCGGAATGGGATGCCGGCGGTACTCGCCGTGTCACCCATGCCTGGATTCCAAATATCCGGGCATGGTTGAGGAGACCCCACGGAACGACCAGCTATTGGCTGACCCAGGCGCTACGGGGCATGGGGTCTTCAATGCCTTCCGATACCGGATAAGCAAGGCCCCGTCCCCGGAGTGTTGGTACGGGTGTGGGGTCCCGGACACGGCGGAGCACACGCTCGTCCAGTGTGGCAGATGGGCGGCGGAGAGGCTGGTCCTCGAAATGGAGCTTGGAGATGGGCTCCCCGACCGGGAGTCTCGGACTCTGGGGGTGCCCGGTGCGGCGGTGACTCGCGGGGCTCGGTGGAGACGTATGGCGGCTGCGGGGATTCTTGGTCCTCCGCCCGGGGATGGGGCCGTCCCTGTATAGAGAATGGCCCTGTCGCGGGGATTCGAACTGGTTACAACACCCGGACGTTATTTATTTTTTATATATTTTATTTTATGACATTAGTTTGACCTCTTTTAGGTTTTATTCTTACACATTTATTTATTTTATTGACGTATTTTATTTTTGTTTTAGCTTTTACTTTATTTTTACACTATTTCTTTTTGCACAGGACACAGAACAAGACTGTTTCGGGTTCCCGCACGATCTCGGCCTCCCCTCAGTACCGACTGGGGGGAGGTTGAAAATGATGGCACATGGGTCCCCGAGCGCTCCCAGTTTTGGCCCGGGCCAGACTAGGATACAACACTCCGCTCGGGAAATAATAGTCCCTTCCCCCTGCTAGGGGGAGGATGAGGATCCTCACCGAAACCCCTAGGGGGGATCCCCCCTTCGGAGGAATAATACCCGAAGGGGTCGTATTTGGGTGGGGGATTGCTGCTAGCGATCCCACAATTGGTGTCCCTCTAGGCCCGGGCCTGGGGGACAGAGTAGGGAGGCTTCGCCGCTGCCCCCGCCTGCCTTGGACAGGTTCTACTGCCCCCCGTGCTGGCGGGGGGACTGGTGCGGCGAATAGGTGGTGTGGCCTCCCTGGCATCAGGGAGGCCCAACGTGGGAGAGGCCACAATGGCTGCGAGGGCTTGCGGTCGCCAGTTGGCGACCTCTCCGGGGCGATGTAATACCTTCGGTTAAGTTCCGCCCCGGGGGGCTGTAGTGGAGGGGTTTTAGTCAGTAAGAATCTGACATTACGCCCCCAACAACATCTGGGGGGGGGTGTTTTATGTAAGATTTTCCTCCACCACAGTACAAAAAAAAAATAAAAAAAAAGGGATGAATATATATATTATATTCGGGAGATAATATTTTGTTGCGAATATCAAATGAATATCTATTTTATATTCGTGAACAAATATTTTGTTTTGAATATCAAATAAATATGTATTTTATATTTGGGAAAAAATATTTCATTCTAAATATTGAATAGATATTCATTTTATATTTAAAAAATAGAATATTTTTTTCTAAATCTAGAATAAACATCGTATGTATATTTAAATATTAAAATGAGATTCAATCTCTTTTATTGGATGAATATGTATTCAATATTTTGTGCTACTAGGGTATGTGAACCTGACACCCAACTGCCAAAAAATTAACTTTTTTTTACGGAAAATGATAGTGTTTTGTTTCGATTTTAGTATTAAGTGTGACGTGGGCGGCCGGGACTGCCGCTATTAGACACGCTTGGTGGCACAAATCTCACGGACGAGATTTATTTATTCCTAAAGCAATCTTGGCGCCAGTGCAAAAGCACGCGTCCGTTATCTTCGCCCTTCCGACTGCTCAAACGGAGAGCGGGCTCAGAGGAGGTCAGGAAGACAAAGAAAATAAGGGAAACTCTGATCCACGAAAGTAATTGGACTTTATTTAGCCGAAAACCAGAAAGGGGGGGAATTCTGCGATACACACACCGAAAAGGAAGAGGGTGTGGCGACTACGCGCCAAAGAGGAAACGCGACGCAAAATTCCCAATACAATTCCGAAAATTTGGTGTTACTTAATCCTACGGGGCCTCGCAAACAGGGAGTCCGCCCTAGAAAAAAATACAACCAAAAAAAAAGAAACGCCGTGAATTAACGGTTTCGCGTTTCGAAGGGGCCCTTTCCTTCGAAAGGCGGCACGTTCTCAAACCGCGCAAGGCCACCCGAAAGATACGCGAAACGAACGGAGGGAATACCTAGGGTTCTCGCCTCCGGGGGTGGTCCTGTCGCGGTCGAAAAGTGCTCCGGAGCACACTCACAGACACGCAAACTCGTTCCGCGCTCGCACACACACTCCACAAAAGGAAACCCCGACGTGTGGGCCCTACCTGAAGGTTGCAGGCCTCGGGGTCCAAGATCTTTGCGTCCTCTGGGGGTATCCCTCCAAAATGGGGTACAGGTCCACCACCCACACCCGACATAAAAACAAACCCGAATCTCTGCACCTTCGTTAAAGGCGGAAAAGGGTGCACGCTCGCGTATCCGTCGCGATTCGCGGTTCTTTTCGTCGCCTGCTCGTGGCTCTCCCCACCCAGGAGCTTTAAGGGGCTCCTTATGGTGTGCCACCACCATGGCATCTCCAGACGTCGATGGCTCTCCTTGCAGTTCAGTCTTCCGTGGCAGCTGCGGGGCGAGGACAGGCGCTGACCGTCTGTAGAGGGTGGCAAGTCCTCTTTGGTGGTGGCCACACCGGGGTCCTTGGGTGGACGACACCACGACCGACGACTTGCCGCGCTCCATCCTGTCGCGGACCACCTCTGCGGTGTGTTCAGCGAGGAGGGAGCGAGGACCCTCCGGGGTCAGGGTGCCTTCGTGACGGGAAGAAAAGTTCTGCCCCGTCACATAGGTTGTTACAATTTTTTTTTATTTATCAATTGATCGTTCGTTGATGAAACTACAAACGAAATACTATCATTTTCCGTAAAAAAAATTAATTTTTTAAATTAGGTCCCACGTTCATATAGCTTACAAGAAAACATCGCCTAGTGTTCCCCGAATTATTTAATCAAATTTTTTTCATATGTAAAGAGGGATATGTAGGACAATCTCTGCAAGTGAGAAGGCGCAACTCTCTTTCGTTTTCGAGAAATAAATTTTTAAAAATAGTTAAATTTCGATTGACGTGTTACGTCCCAACTAGTTTGAGATTTTTTTTAGGGATTCTTGTCTTCGGTTAAAGAGCTAAAGCTCGCCTTATCTGTATTTAATTGGAAAAGAAGGAATTCTGGGATTCTATAATGATTGTCACTAAGTTTAAGTATTAATAAATATAATTATGAAACAAAACTGAGTTTGGGATTACATACAAACAAAAATATAAATTATACAATTGAATGGAATTGAAATGGTTTTAACAATACCAGTCGTTGATCTTATGCTATCGGCGGCGTTTTCAGGCTGTCCAGGGCTCGGCTGTGGCGAGGATCTGGTCTGGTTGTACACTTGCGACACGGGACTCTAATAATTGGCGAATAATAAACGTCGAACTTTCGTAGGTAACTCCGCGGTGACTCTATCTTTAGTGCGTATGTTCTCACTTACGCGAACACTTTACTCAGCCAGAGATACGATACACGATACCTAAATGAGACTAACGCAAGAGATTAACCCGTCCGCGACTACAGAGTATTGACTGCCAAAATAATAATACACAAAGAGCTCTCCGTGGTCGTGACCAGAGGTTTCCTTCCTCAATTAATTTTTTATATAGCCCTAGATCCTTGCCTGGCGCAATTCGTAATTTCAGAATCTTAATTGCCACATTTCCCTAATCTGGAGCAAGTCTCAAATTTAATGGGCGATTCGTGCGCAAGAGCCCAATATCGCTGACGCTTGTTTGCTGACTTACGGTTCACGCAACTCGGTTTAATAACACGATTTCCGAATCGTGGTTCGTGCGCATTCCTAAAGGTTTGGTAACTGACGATGTGGGGCACCGTTCGGTAGGGCTGCACGTTACAGACGAGTGTCAACCGTATAAGAGTCAGAGGTATTATAGAAGCAGCGTGGCACAGTCAATAGAGTGTCATATTGCGAAGGCGATCTTTTGCGCTGGAAGCGGTTCGATACCTGTAGGAGTCGCTTATCTATTTGTTTACTTTTTTTTCCGTTTGTACCATGTTTTATTATGGAAACTACGTTTTTATATATTAAGATTATTTTTATAGAATATTGTGCAATTTTTATGATTTTTATCGCATTAAAAAAGAAGTCAGAAAAAAGAAGGAAGAAAAAAAAAGGAAGAAAAAAAGAAACGAAGAAAAAGAAAGAAAGAAAAGAAAAAAAAGAAGAAAGAAGTTGTACAATGTTTGTTTAATATAATTAAATTGTTATTTACAAACTATAAGGACGTAAGTTTTTATAAAAGCTTGTAGAAACTCCTTTCACATCAAGTATTCTTTTTCAAAGCAATAAAAAACATAAGAAATTGCACAATATTGTATAAAAATAATCTTAATATATAAGAAGGTAGTTTCCATAACAAAACATCATACAAATGGAAAAAAAAAAGTAAACAAAAAAATGGGTGACTCCTACCGGGATCGAACCGCGGCCAGCGCAAAGCTAGAGTTTCGAAGCGACGACGAAAGTAGAAAGAAACAGTTCGATGAAGAAGGTAGAGAGACTGAGAGTCGACGCTGGCAAATGTAAGGATACGGGATCGGGATGCTAAGCGCGATTTCGACCTCAATGAAATGACAACAGTGTAGAGAGACGCTGTTGTGAGAACGGCAACACTGGAATTGTATCGACATCACGTTAGCAGTCGTCCTCAGTAAGCGCCATCTCCTATCGATTGTCTGAACTAAATTTGTGACGTCACTTGCTCTGTATTATCGTCAAAATGGCGGAATCTCGTTTTTGGAAACGCAATGCTTTGCCCACAGATTTTGTCCTCATATGAGCATATTTTGGGCTCAATGAGGGCTCATTCGAAAGAGGAAGGTCCAAGGAATGGCGCTCTGGTCGTCGTTCGAGTCACAAAATCCTTTTAGTAACCTAAAAATACAACTATTGTGCGGATGTATTTTGCTCGATTTTTGCTCGACTTTGGACGCTCATATTATTAAATATCGACACAATATCGTTCAACCACGACCAGAGCGCCATTCCTTGGACCTTCCTCTTCCGAATGAGCCCTCATTGAGCCCAAAATATGCTCTTATAAGGACAAAATCTGTGGGCA